TGAGCTGTGAGCTATGTGCTATCCTGGCATCAAAATGGGCCTGGCTAAAGTGCCATAATACTTGACTATAAGTTAAGAACATGGTCATGGACAAATTCTGTCATGATCCAAAAAGTAATAACTATATTTGGACACTGCTAGGGTTAGGAAAGATTAATCTGGCCTGAACACTGTAGCCTGAGTCTGTGGCAAGATGCTCCCAGGAAAGTCAACCTACAAGCTCAATCTATCTCTGTGTCCATACAAAATAACTAAATATTAAGTAGTAGAATTAAGATGTTAATTAAGTTATTCGACCAAGAAGAAAAGGAACACCCCTAGGTGGAATTTTTGCCCTTGAGTCTGATGGGCCTTGAGCATGATGGGTGGACAGGGAAGGATTTTTATTACGTTAATTTTGCTAGCAGACTGAGTATAGCATCTATCCCCAGTGCTGGGGAGTTGGGGAGAGGAGAGAGAGACCAGGACAGCAAGATGGAGCACAGAGAGACTAGCAAGGGGGACAGAGAAAGAAGGATATAGGGGAAGAATGCAAGAGCAGGTGCGTGAAGAGATGAGAGACCAGGCTACAAGATGGAGCATGGAGAGATGGGCGGGAGAGACAGGAGGAGACGGGAATGAGGGGCAGTGTGACACTAGAATGGGGAGCTTAGCGAGACTGTAACAGGTGCATGGGGAGAATGGAATAAACGGCAACTGATCAACCAACCGGCTCGGCCCTCGTTTCCTCTTTCCGCAGCGGTAGGGCATTTGCCTTGCACGCAGCCAACATGGCCGACCCGAGTTCGATTCCTCCGCCCCTCTCGGAGAGCCTGGCAAGCTACCGAGAGTATTCGATATGCCAGACACAGTAACAACAAAGTCTCCAATGGAAACGTTACTGGGCCCGCTCGAGCAAATCGACAATCAACGGGAGGGCCTTTACTTTACCTTTACAGGTTTTAGTTTGTCTTGTAAAAAGTTAGCACTGTAGCACTGTCCTCCCGTTGTTCATCGATTTGCTCAAGCGTGCACCAGCAACGTCTCTATTGTGACTTGTTGTTACTGTTTTTGATATATCGAATACGTCACAGCTTGCCAAACTTTGCCATGAGGACAGGATACTCTCGGTAGCTTGCCAGGCTCTCCGAGAGGGGCAAAGGAATTGAAACTGGGTCCGCCCAGGTTGGCTGCATGCAGGGCAAATGCCCTACCCGCTGTGCTTTCGCTCCATATTTTTCTACATTCTTCCATTCTGTGCACTAACTCTGTTATTTCCCTCTGATGTCAATAACTCATCTATTATGGCACCACTGATCTTGGGTGAAGTGGTAATAATGGAAGTAAATAAGGGAACTGGAAGATGTTCTCAAACTTCCAATCCCATCTCACTTTTGTCCAACATTCTGCCTCCACATGTCATTTTGTCTGTCTTCCCCATACTCTGGCCTCTGTCTTCATCTCTCATTTGCTCTGCTAAAGCTGTATTGCACAGATGATTGACAAATCTGGATTTTTAGCACAGCAGGTAGGGCGTTTGCCTTGCACACGGCCGACCTGGGAGACCCTGATTCGATTCCTCCACCCATCTAGGAGATCCCCACAAGCTACCGAGAGTATCTCGCCTGCACGAGAGTATCTCGCCCACATGGCAAAGCCTGGCAGCTACCTGTGACGTATTCGATATGCCAAACACAGTAACAACGAGACTCACATTGGAGACGTTACTGGGCCCGCTCGAGCAAATCAATGAACAACGGGAGGACAGTGCAGTGTACAGTGCTAATGTAAATTAAGTAGGTGCAAGTGACTGGGTAAAGATGATAGATGTTAAGGAAGTTATCAACAATGGTCTCTTTTCATCCCTAAAAATTGTTTCACCATTTGCCAAAGGCCAGCAGAGGGCATACTTCCATTTCAGATATGTGAATATTGCAGGGATAAAAAAAGAACTATCAACCCTGACACTGGGATTTGAATAAATGGGCCATTGTACTGGGTTTTGGGGGGAAAGTAGAGAGAATTTAAGTAGTTCTGGAATGTTTAATGGTGTTTGGGATATTTAATAATTGTTCTTTTATAGATTAAAAAATTCATATATATACATACATATACATATATGTATGTGTGTGTGTGTGTATATATATATAGCACTGTAGCACTGTCCTCCTCTTGTTCATCAATTTGCTCAAGCAGACACCAGTAACGTCTCCATTGTGAGAGTTGTTGTTACTGGTTTTGGCATATTGAACACATCACGGGTACCTTGACAGGCTCTGCCGTGGGGGTAGAATACTCTCAGTACTTGCAGGGCTCTCCAAAAGGGATGGAGGAACCAAACCTAGGTCAGCCGCGTGCAAGGCAAACACCCTACCAGCTATGCTATTGCTCTGGCCCATATATATATGGGCCAAAGCAATATATATGATGTCTCTTGTCTCTCTCCAGGTTTGGGGCTTTAGCCACAAATTTCAGAAACAAGGCAGAATTTATGCGATCCTTTACACTTCTGTGATACAAAATGTATAAATAAATTGATCACAGAGAAAAAGTGAGAGAAACTTGCACCTACTTCCTTTGTTTCCTGTTTTAAAACAAAGTACAGGAAAGGTACTGCAACGTGTTAAATAGTCTCAGGTAGGAAAAAGGTGCCAAGAACAATCTATCAGGTGAGGGAGCTGCTACTGTTTAATTAGGCAGTAACCACTAAGAAGATCACGTGAGAAATTTTTACAAGATGAAGTTTCCAAAATGAATAATAATTTTCATTTTCGAGGAAAAATTGTTTTCAGTTAAAAGGTAAATGCCTCAAATTTCAGCAGTGACTTCATCCCTGTGTAGATGAGTTTCAGATACTTTTCTTATAGTATTCTCCCTTATGTATTAGGGAGAGAAGGGAGAAACATGCAGAAAAAACACAGCATAATGTAGACATCACTTAGCATGTTTTTGGAGCACTAGGTGCAAGGTTCTGTTTTTGGTGCCAAGAGTAAATAAGAAAACACACCATCAGAGAACCCACCGTTGGAGAAGATGTACCAAACAGCAACAAATTGAGTAACCAGCCAGACCTTACCTTAGAATTTGGCCCTGTCTCAATACCAGCATGTGACTCAAAGAAGAGGAATTAAAGTTGTCTTTTGTAAAACAGGAATAGTATAAATATTCAATGAAAACATATACACACATCTCTAACATAAAATCTTCTGGAGCAATAGCACAGCAGTAGGGCGTTTGCCTTACATGTGGCTGACATGGCCGACCCGAGTTCGATTCCTCTGCCCCTCTTGGAGAGCCCTACAAGCTACCGAGAGTATCTCGCCCGCACAGCAAAGCCTGGAAAGCTACCTGGGATGTATTCAATATGGCAAACACAGTAACAACAAGTCTCACAATGGAGATGTTACTGGGCCCGCTAGAGCAAATTAATGAACAATGGGAGAACAGTGACAGTGACAGTGATTAGCCTATAATATGAGCTCTACTATCAACCTTCTTTCACAAATGCAAAAACAAAGACACCAATTTATAGATTGCCCAGAATCAAATGGAATATGTTAAGAATAGGAACATGAAACAAGACTGATTCTGGTGTGCCTCCTAATCAGTATGTCATATGGAGGGCCAATTTCTATTGCTAGTTTGAGGATTACATGATAAGAAATATATGTAGCTGATAGTGAAGATAAAGATAGATGTAGTATATATACATATATATGTATATGTGTGTATATATGCAATTCAATAATTCAAATCAAATTTCACTGCTTCACAATATAATTTGTGCCCAGCGCTGATTAAAGGTAATATTTCATAATGTCCTAACTATTAATTCATAGCTTTTCTGCATTTATCTTTCCTTAAGATGGCAGGGTGTCTCTAACATCTCTGACTCGAGACAATATCATAACACAGACTACCACAACACAAAAGAGGAACATCTCTAGATTTTTCTGACCTTCCTGAAATCTGAAGTTAAAATCAAGTTCAAAACTAAACCTAGATCCAGGTATTCATTGAGCCCTGAGACCACCCCCCTCTCCCTCCATCACTCTGAGAAGGGACTAGATAGTCATTCCACCTTAACCTTTCACTCTTTTCCAAATGCATTTTCCAGAGTTCTCTATTAGTTTCTTGCTGATTGGCAAGCTGATTGATAGAAGAGTTAATTAAATTAACTTTATGATTTGAAGACAAGTGCAACAGGCCTGTTTCTTTGCCCCTGAGGGTGTCCCCCCCCCCCCCCACATACTCCAAGTCTGAACTGGTGTCTCACAGTGTTGCACTACCAAATTCATTCGGTCACTGTCACTGTCCGGTCACTGTCCTCCCGTTGTTCATCGATTTGCTCTAGCGGGCCCAGTAACATCTCCATTGGAGACTTTGTTGTTACTGTGTTTGGCATATCGAATACATCACGTGTAGCTTGCCAGGCTCTGCTGTGCGAGCGAGATACTCTCGGTAGCTTGCCAGGCTCTCCAAGAGGGGCGGAGGAATCGAACTCGTGTCGACCATGTTGGCTGCGTGCAAGGCAAATGCCCTACCGCTGTGCTATCACTCCAGCCAAATTCATTCACAATTAGAAAATAAATCTCTAAATCCAAACCTCATATCTTATTGATTTCCTTTCAAGACTATCATCATAGGTTCATTAGAAAGAAAACTGGGTTTTGATGATATGGTGTATCTACAAATATTCCATGTTTCTTTGTGTACACTAAAAGTCATTTTTATAACACTTGCTAAACAGAACAATGCAAATGTCAAATCAATAGTACACCTTGAAAATATATCCTATTCCTCTAGCACTTTTGTGCTGATTTCATCTCTCCATGTTTCACACAAAACATGATTGAGTATAAAACAAGGGCATCATACCTTTAGTTTGAACTCCCAAATGTGCTTTGGTAGTTAGGTACTGCATGTTACATAGTCATAGTCTTACATTTCTCTCAGCATCCCTTGAGGGTGGGGTGGTAGGGGGGGTGTCATGAATTTTTTTTTCCATAGCAGATGCTTACCCCAAGATAATGGCCATCTATGAACACAACAGGGAGGGATGGAGCTTCAGATACTCGTCGGCAGCGTTCATCTAGCTCTTTGCCATAGTCACCATTCAATGCTATGTTTTTCTCTTCAAATTTTACTCGATGATTTTGGAAGATCTTTCTAACGAGTTCACATCTCTCAAAGGTTGTCCGTACCACACGAAGACAAGTGGTATATATCACTACACGGTCAAATTCTAGCTCGGTTGATGGTTGCTGGAGAGAAAACGTTATAATATAAATATGTTTGCATCATTTAATTATTTTAATACAATTATGTTTGGGGGAATCAAGTACATAATACAGAGACTAAGGCACATGACCTCGAACATGGCTAATTTCATTTCTATCTTCAACAACAAGTATGTTCCCCTGAGCATTGCCAGAACTAATCTCTGAGCATAGAGTCAGAAATAAACTCTGAACATTGTTATGTGTGACCCTCAAATCAAAACAACACCAAAAAAATGTTGTTGATGTATATCCTTTACATTAAAGGTATGCAATAAAGGTTGAATGAGATATGCCTTTCTAAGATGTGCCTTTCCATTGGAATATTTGTAACTAAGAGATAACAATCCAAAAAATGGCAAAATATGACATGACAGTATATTTTATGTCTTTAGAGGCATGTAAAACAATGGAGTACCTTAAACTGTTTTATAAGACAGACATGTTATGTGGGAAAATAACCAATGATTGAGTTATTTTTTCTATGACATGCAGCAATTGCTTAAACATTTCACCTGCCAAAGAACATTCATTGCAACAAAGTAATTGATGTTAGTATGTAATCATTTGAGAATTTTTCAATTTACCAGTAAGTTATGTATTGTAAATTTCAAAGTAAGATTTCCTGGGAATGACAGGATTGGATATTCTCAGGTCAATTAACACTGAATAATAATATATGTTTAGTGAGTGTCAGGGCTTTCATGTACAAGAGTTAGAAGACTGAGTGGCTCAGAAAATGTGCAAAGATATAATACCAAACTGGGTAGTGGTGAAAACTACCCAGTTTGGAAAACTACCCAGTGGTGGAACGAGATAGAAAGAAATAACACACTCAAACAAAAACTAAAGTGAATCCATAATTTAAATCTTTTGTTTAGTACATCATATACCTGGAAAAGTCCTTCATTATCAATCTCTCCTGGAGGAGATTGAACACAATACAACTCTATCATGGGATACAGGGATACAGGAGTTTTGTAGAAGTGAAAATTGTAAAACAAAACGTTACTGCTTGAAAATCTTTGAGAAATAAATTTTGATCAAAATGGTTGTATAATAAAATTATAAAGTAGATTACTAAATATCACTTATTATTCAAAGAAATCAGACATTTCCTAAAGAAGTAGATGTACAGGTAGTCCTGAAAATGTGCAAGCTTGTGAATATGCGATACAATATTGGTCCCTACCTCACTGAGTGTTTTTCCTGATAACAAGTATTTTAAATATTCAAGAATCATTTAATAATTCAATATAATTTAGAGACCATATGTAATACCACAAATCTTGGGGCTGGTTGGGTATAAAAGAGTGAGAGGCAAGGAGAGTGCTACCTAAAAAGGAACTTGGCTTCAAGAAATGACTGGATTGCAGGCACATCACTCAATGTTTTCACACATTATTACACTTAATATATACACCAAATATTATTTGTATAGGTTTTATAGATGAAGTATGATTTCTAAATCATTAGCTATATTATAAAGACACACATAGAATTTATGGATCAAGGTCTCTGAAGGCAAATTTTAGCCTATATGATGCCAATTTATTAACACTAGTATATAGAAATCTTCAGATACACCTGGATTTTGATCTGTATATCTAAATTAATAAACTATTAAGATTTTTTAGAATATAAAAACAATAGTATCTTATTCAAAAAGTTTGCTAGTAGATTAAGCAAAAATATATTTTCCTCCACCCAGGATGGGAGATGCATGCTGAAAGTAGACTATAGACCGAACATGATTGCCACCAAATGCCTCTTCTGCAAACCACAGAACCCAAAAGGAGAGAGAGAACAAAAGGGAGTGCCCTGCCACAGAGACAGGGTGGGATGGGGGATGGGGGGGTGAGAGAGATACTGAGAGTGGTGGGGGTGGAGAATGGGCACTGGTGGTGCAATGGGTACTTGATCATTGTATAATTAATATATCATTTGCTTACACAGTCACAGTCCTCCCGGTTGTTCATCGATTTGCTAGAGTGGGCCCAGTAATGTCTCCACTGTGAGACTTGTTGTTATTATGTTTGGCACATCAAATACGTCACGGGGAGCTTGCCAGGCTTTGCCGTGATGGTGAGATACTCTTAAGTAGCTTGCCGCGCTCTCCAAGAGGGGCGAAGGAACCGAACTCGGGTCAGCCATGTTGGCCACTTGTAAGGCAAACACCCTACCCGCTGTGCTATCACTCCAGCCCTATTTGCTTACAATATTATAAAATTTTAAGGATTTAGCTTCACAACTCCATATGTTAGAGAAGTCACTTCACTCAGCACCAAAGTTCAGTAGAATCCAACCACCAAAAACACCCCTCAACTCATTTTCCCCTCCGCACAACACCTATCTTTTACCAGGCTTAAGATTTAGTTTTGTTTCTTCTTTCCTGTTTGCTTTATGTATTCAAATGAGAATGAAACCATCTGATAATTTCCTTTCATATTTTTACTTATTACATTTACCATAGTCACCTCAACACCCAATATTTAGTTCCAAAAGGCATTCTTTTATATTTTGTAATAGTGGGATTCCACTGAGTACCAGAGCTGCTTTATCCATCAACTATCAATCAACTTATACATGGGTATTAGTTGATTACATATATATGCAATAGCAAATAATGCTCTACTGGTGTAAATAGCCTTCCAAATTAATGTTTTGATATCCTTTGTGATAAATGTCTATAAGAGTCAAACAACCAGCATGAGACTTTAAGTTTAGTGGTATCATTTTGTTAAAATAATAAACACATTGTATCCATATAATTATATGTTTCATATTAAAAGGCAAAAATAAGCCAGTGTAAAATGATAAAATTAATGACAATGAAGGAATTAACACTACATTTTTTTATTAAGAAGATATTTAGATTTAAGAAAGTAAGTACAGGTCTTGGAGTCTATGGCTCCAGTACACATTCATGTCTGTGGGAATCAAGGAACTTTAATAAAGATTGCACATTTAAGAAGTGTAGTACTTTTTTCTGATTATACTTTTTAGTATTTATGCATTTTTTCTCCACTAAAATGTTGCTATAACTGCCTTTGGTTCTATTAAAATGATTCTTTTCCTTTCTTTTTTTTTTTTTAGATATCCACACTTACTTTGATATACCTGATAAGTACACAAGTGCCATGTGTAAAAGAGTGGACAAACATTAAGAGTAGATAATTCTCCTGCTGCATTAACTGACTCACATAGAATTATCTCTGTTCACAAGACACTAAAGTGCCATTTCTCAGTGTGTCTATAAAAAATGAGAATTTTAAAACACTAATAAAATGTGTCATACTGTCTAATGCGAGAGATAACAAAAATATTTCTGTGCCTAATATTGGTAATGAGTTTCGCTTGAAAACAGTGAATCTTTAATTTAGAATAAACTTGGTATTTCTCATATTATTGACATCTTTTAGATCTCTGTAACTACAAATACCCCCCCGCCCTCCCCCCCACACACACACACACCAAGCACTACCAGGAGTAAGTCTGAGCAAAGACAAGTTGTGGCACCTCAAAATAAATAATAAAATAAAATAAATAAACCTAAAAATTCTGTGACAAGGGCTGGAGAGATAGTTTATGAATTAAGGCACTCCTTTGCATGTGGCAGATCTGGTTTGATCCCTGGCATAATATATATGATCCCCTGAGCAAAACCAGAGGTCATTTCTTAGCAAAGAACCAGGAAATATCAAGGCACCACTGGTTTGTGACCTCCAAAATGAGACAAACAAAAAACAAAACCATTGTGTAAGTCACATCTCCAGTATCATTCCTTGACGTGAAAATAAAATTGAAAACAGAGTTGAAAATATGGTCATCTACTGCGCTAAGCCATGGAAAGTTATCATATGGCTTCATTTGGTGAAATGATTTGGAACTGGATACTACTTCCTAGAGATGAAATTGGGTCGAACTGTTTTTCAAGGTTTCCACATTTGTTATGGAAATGTTAAATGATGTTGGTTTGGGTTGAAAAGAAATCCTCTTCAAAATTTGCTTCATTTTCTTCTTTCAACAGATTTCTCAAAGCATCTGGCCAGAAATCTAAAAATAGCCTTTCAGTGGTTAACTGTCCCTCCTCTCCCTTCTAGAGAGTTACCATGGAAATCACTCAGTGAAGGACAGGAATGTCAGAAAGAACGCTCTGAAGCCATTGCGATTTACAGCTGGCTTGTTCTGGCAGAACTGACCTAGATGTTAATAAAGACAGTCCATTTGGTTCTGATTGAAAAGATGAGTCTTAGGGGTTGCCCGGACAACAACCTGCAGCAAATACAGTAGTGTCGGCAAGGGATAGAAATTTCTGTGAATGAAGTTAATGGGTTACTACTAATGAGCTAATGTATATCTTCTATGTACCTTGTACTGCAAGAATTGCTTTGAACCTGAGTACTTTAGTCACTTAGTTATCTCCCAACAACAGTAAGACCTCTCCACACCCAATGAAATTGTTCTGAAATTCAAGCCAAGAAGCTTATTAAACATTCTCCAGGTCCAATAACAAAGACAGAATCACAAAGGATAATACACAGTTATCAGGATGGAGGAAATTCACTGGTTAATTTACATTTGGCTCTTTTCCTAAAAAATCTGGTACAAATTTGAAAAATCAACCTGAAATTGGCTTTCTACTCTAGTTCTAAATACGGTCCCTAGTCACCAAGTAAATGTGAGTTTCCACAAAACTCCATGACCTCTGTCTTAAACAAAAATTTAAAACAAAATATACTTCAATGTCATTGGCAGACATGATCTAGCAACTTTACCTCACCATAGTTCTATTTATAAATCTAGAATTCTATATACAAAGACCACGAATTCCATAGAGAAAAGATTTATTCAGTATAGTTTAACTTGAAACCCTCGGCCTAACCTAATATCTATTAGCCTTCCACTGAGCCAAGCAGATGGAGTCTCACTCTGAGTTTGTGCCCTGCTCCCATGCATGGAGTTAGTTTCCAAACAGACTGTTG